TTCACAAATATTTTAACGATGCAATGCATCAATAACATTATGTCTTAAATGTTTAATTGTATTAAACTTTCAAAATAACAAAATATAGAGATTGGTTAAATTGGCCTCACTAGGATCATCCGTACTCGCCAATTCAGAGTTGGGTCTTGTCCATTAATTTTAAAGATAGTCGGGTTTAGCTCATACTATAATCTTACACGTTCATTGTTCCATCTTGTATATGATAAAAAGAAGACGAATGGACATGTGAACCTACATTTCGACCTTGTAATCTCTTAATTTCATTGTTACTTTATGATGATGTCACACGTTCTTCTTTTTATAAAGCAAACTAAAAGAAAAAGAAATAGTGGGATCATACGTAGGATAGGATAGGACCAATAAAAAAGGAGAAAATAATGTAAAGTGACTGCCTGGTAATAAATTCATATTTACTAAATTGTAATTCATAATTTTGAAGACGTGATTAGAGGAAAGAATCAACCGTACAACACCTTGACTAAGAAACAAACAAGAAATTATTTGGGTAGTACAATTGATTGTGTTTAAAACAGTTTAATGGTAAAATGTTATGTGACATTATGTCAACCATCATATCAATTTTTTTGTTCCTATAGCATCATTGTAATCAAAATAATAATGCTAATTTGACAGAAAAATCCTTCCAGATGCAATGACAGAAGATGATGTGGTGGGAGGTTATTGGGTGAGATAACTGACCGTGTTTAAAATAATCAAATGATAAAATATCATGTGATATTATGTTAACTATTATGTCAAATTATTTGTTCCTGTAAGTAATCAAAATATGTTCTATAAATAAAAATTAAAATCATTTTTTAATCCAAATAATTTGTTGCCAGAGCCCAAATATCCATATCTAGTCGAGTCAATTGAGGCAATCAGTTGCCTACCAGACTTTTAGCACATATATGAATCAAACGGTAACAGAGTTAATGACAGAAGGGACACATGTCAATACATAATTAGATAGTTTTTTTTAAAAAAAAAAAAAAAATACAACACAAACCCACCCTACGACAACACCCATCACCTCACCTCTTGTTATTTACCCTAGCTAAGGAGCATTATTCTATATGAATTCAAATTTTGAGTTTTTGAACGAGTTCCTGATTCCTAGTTCTTGTTCTTTGCGTATGCTTCTTCTATTTGTTATTTTCTGAATTTTTTATTCTCGTCACTTTTATGCATTAATTTTTATCAAAATGTGAGGGAAACCCTTTATAGTAACAATAATCAGTTTCAGGTTTGGGACTGATCAAAATGGATATTTGGTAGACAATATTTATTTATTTTTGTATATATTTTAGTTTGAAGTTGAATATTATATTCCAGGGTTAATTATCTTTGTACATATTCTTTCTTTATAT